TGTGAAAACACATCCGACACACCCCCCTCAGAACAAAAAATAAGATTATAGTACCTCAACACTTCTACATGCATAGCCGTCCCCTCCCTCCACAATCCATTCTGGTCCTTGACTCGTAGGAGAAGATTACGCCTCCTGCGTGCCGAGGCTGCCTTGTGGAAAAACTTCGTGTTAGAATCCCCATATTTCAACCAGAGTTCTTTTGAACGTTGGCGCCAAAACAGTTCTTCCTGTTTCAATACGATCTGTAGCTCAGATTTTGCCTCCCTAAATTCCTGAATTGCCTGCGCCGTTCTGTCCTCCTCCAACGCTGTTAATCTCTGCCGCAACTTGTTAATGCGTTTACCGCATTGTCTAGCATGATCTCCACCCCACTTTTGTAATTGGCGGCCACAAATATCTATCCGTTGTTGAAAATCCATACCAGCCGATTGTCTCCACGCTACTTCTACCACTTTCGCACACCCCGACTCGAGAAGCCAAGCGGACTCAAACTTGAAAGCGTACCTTGCTGCGCGAACCGGCCGTGTCTCTAAATCAAGTAGAATTGCGCTGTGATCAGATTCAACCGTAAAAATTTTTCGCACTACTGCGTCCTCATGTAGTTCCACCCAATCCATCGTAGCCACTGCCCTATCGAGCCTTTCCTCCACCCAAGCCTCTGTACCATGCCCTTTTTCCCATGTGAACCGGCCTCCTACCATACCCAAATCAAGAAGCTGACAATCTTCCAAAGTATCGTTAAAGCTTTCAATGAGACCTTCCGGGTGTGAATGAGTACCCCGTTTCTCAGATAAACACGCTATATCGTTAAAATCTCCCGCGACAACCCAAGGAAGCGGTGATTGCACCTTGAGCTGTCGAAGAAGATCCCATGTGGATTGCCTTTGCGAGCGGTCAGGATTACCATAGAACCCCGTCAGTCTCCATTTCGGCATGTCTGGAAGAGTGATTTCCATATCGATGTGATTGCACGAGAGACTCAGAAGCGATGCTGCCTCCGCATCCCTCCACATAAACGCTAATCCGCCACCCATACCCTCACGGTCCACGCACACTGCCCCTTCAAACCCCATCTGCACTCTCACCTGCTCCACTTTCTCACCTAATGCTTTTGTCTCCGATAAGAAGACAAAAAAGGGTCGCTCTTTGGACACAATGTCCAATAGCTCTCGAACTGTCCGGGTGCCACCCAAACCCCGGCAGTTCCAACTGAGAACAGTCATTGGGCTGGGCGAGTCTGGCCCTCCAGACCCGCCGATAATAAAGTTTTTGAACTCTCAGACATCATCACATCCTCCCCATACACTTCAGTAACCTGTTCAGCCGACTCTCTTCTACGCTTCAACTCCCCCTGTACTCCTGTACTCTCCTGTGCCGTCACTAGCTCCAGAGGCGAAAGCCCTGGCAGAGATGAAGGTAAACTCGACAGTGCGTCCTTCGGTAGTAGCCATTTTGCACCGACTGGTTTGGCTTGCCTCCTCGGTCCAGCGCGCATCCAATTGCCAAAAGGAAACGATTCGAGCGGGATACCTTCCTCATAGGCCTTCCTACAAAATTTCTCGATGTGACCCAAAATTCCACAACAGAAGCAAAAGGCATTTAGTCGTTCGTAACGGAAGTTAATCCACTGAGTGGAGCCATCTTTGCGCACGAGCCTCATACGTCTTTTCAACGGTATCCCCACCTGCATCCTAGCCCTGATGCGGCAGAATCCCTTCCACGAACCCCCAAAATTGTTGGGGTCGATCGCGACAAAGGAGCCTAGGTAATCGTCGATTCGAGTCAGGAACTCCGGTGATGCGTACATCGCCGGTAACCCGTGGATCTGCACCCAATATGTCACTGCATCGAGTTCGACATCTTCAGGTCTCGAATCCGGAGGAACTCGCTCGCATACCAGAGTGTGATTTTCAAAAGACCAAGGGCCATCGTCGATGACCCTCTACAAATCCTTGGGATGTGGGAATCGGAATAGGAACAGCTCCTCCGTTAATGCCTCCACCTGCATGCCCATCACCGGCCGCCATACGGATGCCAGAACTTGTTGCATGTGGTCGAATTTGATCGGACGATCGGTGAGAAAATGCCCTACCAAGCTGTGATGGATCGGCGCCTCGCTCGGAGGTGATGGGTCAGGTGCCTCTAAGCCAGACACCTCCTCCTCCGTAATTGACAAATTGGCACAGTGATCCTCGATCTGGCGGATATCCATGGTGAATAATACAATCCACACCACGAGAAAAACTTGTAAATGTGACTTCATCGAAGTAGAAAACTCAATGGAATTTATATAAGCCCTAGAACGCTAGGGAGAAAACCTCTCTTGCGCATAAACAAGAGAGAGGGCCACTCAATCGGCGGGCACGATCGGCGATCACGACCTGGGACTGCGGAAATTACAGAGCATTTACGAGACGAAAGATGCGTACTCTTGTTTCATATATACTATTAATTTTGTAATACAAATGAGATTCTAATATATTACTTACCAATCATAAAACTTGTTGTAATAGTCATTTGCTATATCAATTCATTAGATATTAGTTAATTTATCACAAATCATATCTTTTTTTCCGTCATAAATAATTAATCTATAATTGTAATAATAAAATTACCAATTAAATTTGCAGTTAAATATGAATAAGATAAAAAAAAAATTAAAAAAAAAAAGATAAAACAAAAACAAATAAGTACTCAATCTGTTTAATGGTTATCATAGTTACTGCATATGCAATTTTTAAATATAATGAAAGAAAACTATATATATATATATATATATATATATATATATATATATATATATATATATATATATATATTTGACAGATCCACCATTTTAACATTTTGACTAGAGACAAAATGTTAACATTTTGACCAGACACAAAATGTCAAAAAAGTCGTTTGGTTCTTCAACAGTTTGGAGCAACGGTTTGTTTCAAACCACTGAAAACTGAAATGCTACATTTTGCAGCATTTTAATTTGGATTTTTGGGAAAGAATAATCTTTTCCCAAAACACCCTTGAATTATATTTATTTAAAAAAAAAAACTTATATAACGGAAGCCATTAAATGTTCCTTAAATGAAGGATTCTTTTAGGTTGCGCTATCAATGCTTGCCCAGCAGTGATGAGCAAGCAAATCGTTTCGTAAGTCATTAAGGGAGCAATGCTCCTCTTATATAGAGGAGCTCTTTGAGCTCATCTTCATTCAGTAATGATATTGGATTAAAGTTGATTCCACATCAGTTATGTCTTTTTTTAATATTATTTTGCTTATTATTATTATTATTATTATTATTATTATTATTATTATTATTATTATTATTATTATTATTATTATTATTATTATTATTATTGTTATTGTTATTGTTATTGCTATTTTTTTTGAAAGCTGTTGTTATTATTATTAGTATTATTATAAATTTTATTTTATTATTGCATAATAATAATAACAATAACAATAATAATAATAATAATAATAATAATAATAATAATAATAATATTATTATTATTATTATTATTATTATTATTATTATTATTATTATTATGAATGTCCTTATATGTCTTTTTACATTTAACCGCTAATAGTAAAAAATTAATTTTACCAAACATATTTTTACAAACCGTTAATGCAATCCGCTGGTTAAACCGGCTAACACAATCCGCTATCAGTTAACCGATAACCGCGGATTACCCAACAAAGCCGAAGTGTATAAATAGGAAAAGGAATCTATCTTTACGCAAATAAATTAAGTAATTCATATTTACGCAAATAAATTAAAAAATGAATTTTTAAAAATTACTATTACGCAAGATCAGTATTCTGCGTGTGTAGATTTCAAATTATTATTATTATTATTATTATTATTATTATTATTATTATTATTATTATTATTATTATTATTGGTGTAAAATCAATATTTGAATTATTATTATTTGTGTAAATAATAATTAATAAATTATTATTTCTTTATAAAATTACATAGAATTTTCAATGAATTTTTTCATTTATTACACAGAATTTGTTTCTATTATTCTCACTATTATAATGGTTTAATTATTCTTAGAATTTGGTAACCATTTTCCATTTTTAAATATATATTGACTTTAATTTGTGGTAACAATTCATTAGATATTAATTAATTTTCATATAAAATTTTGTTACCAATTAAGTTTTATTAATTTTTTTATCAATTAATTAATATTCATATTAGTTTGAACGGAAAAGTTGAAGATGGTGGATTTTACTTTTATTAACAGTATAGATTATTATTATTAAGATTAGTAATTTTAATCTAGAATTGTATTAAGAATAGAAAGTAGGAAAAAATATATTATATTAGGAATTGTATTACCATATTTTAATGTACAATTGTAGTACGAATAGGAATTGTATTACCATATTTTTACAATTTTACAATATTGCGCAATCCTTAATTGTATGGGAGTCTTTTGGCGAGAAGTTAAATTGAGGATTTTATTTTTAGAACAAATTACACTTTTGGTCCTATGACTATATAGGGCGTGTTAATTTCGGTCCGTGACTTTTAAAACTAACAATTTAGTCCTTTAACTATGTTTTTTTTTAGCAGATTTGGTCCTCCCGGTCAAATTTCACCGGAAAAACATAACCTATTTTAAATTATTTATAATTGGGGGTTAAATGGTCATTCCACATCATTTCTTCTTCTTCCTTGCTGCGCCGAAAAAGTAAAACCCAGGAGTGTGATACGAAGTCGCCGATGGCTCTGTGTGATTTTGCCCATTTTTCCACGGCCTTCCCCAACTCTCTCACCAACTGGAAAGCGTTGTTGTGTCTATGGATGTGTGTCCAGCTGCGGCACCCACCCCACCACTATCGATGTCCGCCGATGGCTCCCGGAAACTGGGTCTTCCTGTTCTCGCTATCGCGTTGCGCTGGCCGCCGGAGGGACCAAAGGAAGAACACCCACTGCGTTTGAGCCCACCGACGATCTCTCTCACTTGATTTTCCGGCGATCTTGGAATGTTGCGAATGCAGAATTAGGTTCGTGATTCACCACCAGATTTTCGACACTGATGTGCAGTATGCATTATCCCGAGTTCAAGTACACACAAGACTGCTTTAGCAATCTTCTTTAGCTGCTGCCACTGCTACTTAAGATCACATTTCAACCATACCATAGCTTATGTTGGTTTATTCTCCCGAAACTGATGCAGCGCGCTGTGGCTGGAGTGGCAAACGGAAGTGGGGACCATTGAAATTGAGCGAATTGTTATCTGTGCTTCAAGATTTTCTATCTAGTAAAGAACTGCAATATTCAAGTTGATATGCAGTTCATCTTCATCTTTTAAGTAATTAAGAAATTATCAGTTTATCTTTATTTGCTTTTCCCTAGGCGCAGCAAGGAAGCAGAAGAAGTGATGCGAAAGGATCATTTTGCCCCCAATTATAAATAATTTAAAATGAGTTACGTTTTTCCGGTGAAATTTGGCCGGAAGGATCAAATTTGCTAAAAAAAGCATAGTTAAAGGACTAAATTGATAATTTTAAAAGTTACGAACCGAAATTAACATGCACCTTATAGTCATAGGACCAAAATTGTAATTTGCTCTTATTTTTATATATAGTATAGATTGCATATACAATTAATATTTTAAAACTTATATATAATATACTTAGCATAAATGTAATAATTTATAGCAAAATTGTAATAGACCGTTTGTAGCAAATAATATTACTAAATTCATACACTATATAAGAATTGAACCAAATTCTCATAACCTGACCCGTCTCATGCATGGACGGAGCCACTGTGGGGGCAGCTGCCTACTCCCCCCTCCCCTGACCCCACACTTTGTATATATGTATTATATATATACATATATAACATTAAATTTTATATAAAATCTATATTTATGTTCAAATTATTAATAGTTTGAATATCTTAATTAATTGGATGAACTCCAAACTTGATGTTAAAAAGCTTATGCCATAAGTTCAAATTTCTTTAGCAACACTTGTCTTTATCTTCTTTTGTTTATTTTATCTCTGTCATTTATTCACAAGATACATTAAATATTTTTTTAGTCTACTTTTTATGAATTATTTAATTAATAAATTAAATGCTCTCTTAGGGTCCGTTTGGAAAGTAGGGAAAATGACTTCTGGAAAATGTTTTCTGGAAAATGAGTCATTTTTTGGAAAACATTTTCCTTTCCAGTGTTTGGTTGCATTCTGGAAAACTGTTTTTGTGTGTTTGGTTCATTTTCTGGAAAATGAGTAGAATTATATAATTAAATATTTTAATTATTTTATTTAGAATATTACAACATGTATAATAATATATAATAATATAATAATAATTTTAAATATAATAAAAATAACTAATAATATATCAAAAATATTATGGTGGTGGTGGTGGTGTAGTGGTAGTGGTGTCATTCGTTATATAATAATAATAATAATAATAATAATAATAATAATAATAATAATAATAATAATAATAATAATAATAATAATAATAATAATAATAATAATAATAATAATAATAATAATAATAATAATAATAATTGGTGGTGGTATGACGGTGGTGGCAGTGGTGGTGTGGTGGCAGTGGTTGCGGTGGTATGGTGGTGGTGGTGGTGGTGGCGGCGGCAGTGGTTGCAGTGGTATGGTGGTGGTGGTGGTGGCTGCGGTGGTTGCGGTGGTATGGTCGTGGTGGTGGCGGCGGCGGTGGTGTGGTGGTGGTGGCGGTGGTATGGTGGTGGTGGCAGTGGTATGGTGGTGGTGGCGGCGGCGGTGGTATGGTGGTGGTGGTGGCGGCGACGGTGGTTGCGGTGGTGTGGTGGCGGCGACGGTGGTTGCGGTGGTAGTTGCGGTGGTATGGTGGTGGTGGTGGCGGCGGTAGTGGTGGTGGTGGTGTGATGGTGGTGGTGTGGTGGCGGTGGTATGGTGGTGGTGGCGGCGGCGATGATGGTTGCGGTGGTATGGTGGTGGTGGTGGTGGCAGCGGTGGTGGTGGTATGATATTGATGGTGTTGGTGTTGGTGGTGGTAGTGGTTGCGGTGGTATGGTGTTGGTGGTGATAGTGGTGGTGGTGTGATGGTGGTGGTGTGGTGGCGGTGGTTGCGGTGGTATAGTGGTGGTGGCGGTGGTTGCGGTGGTATAGTGGTGGTGGCGGCGGCAGTAGTGATGGTGGTGGTGGTATGGTGTTGATGTTGGTAGTGGTGTGAATGTGTGATGTTGGTGTAAAAGTTGGAAAATGACTTCCCCCCCCCCAAAAAAAGGGAAGTCATTTTCCTCCAAAAACAAGCCTATTTTGCAAAGTCAACGGAAAATGATTTCCGTTGACTTAATTTTCCAGGCACATCCAAAAAATGAAAACTTGAAAAATGATTTCTAGAACTCATTTTCCAGGTTTCCAAACACACCCTTAGTTTAGTTTTTATGAATCAAGTTTATATTATGGGTGAGCAATTCGGTTCGGTTTATCCGAACCGAACCGAACTAGTAATAGAAAATCGAATGGTTCGTGATTCTAGTAAACCGAACGGTTTGGTACCAAACTGAACCGAAACCAAACGATTTGGCAAAAACCAAACCGAATATCATATGATTTTTAATAATAATAATAATAATAATAATAATAATAATAATAATAATAATAATAATAAAGTAAATCCAAGTCCCCTGCTCCGACGTTCAGTTCTTATTCTCACTGGTATCTCCCTTTAATTTTTTATTTGAATTCTTTAGAGCTTGTTCTCAACATTGCAGTTTTGTTGTTTGTCGCAATTGTTCTTTACCTCACAATTATATCTAACTTAGTATCTTCCTTAGTTTCATGTTTCTATAAATTTAATGTGTTTTACCGTCATTCTAATTTTGATATCTAGTGCACTAGAATTATTTTCTAGTACTGTAATATATTTCGAGTGCACTAGCAATGACAGATTGTGTCAAAAAATTAACTATATGGTACTTGACACGTGTTCTTCTAATATCAACTATACAGATAGATGATTATTTATCTTGTCAATAAAAATATTCCAAGTGAATCAACTGAAGAGTCGGTTGTGCAAAAAAGTTAACTGATGCTTGGTAATTAGTACTTAGTATTGTGTTTGAACTTTGGATTGCTATATAATGTTTAGAGTTTGGATTTGGATTATGTGATTATGTGAATATGTATTGTTTGGTAGTATGTTCGAAAAATTAGGAAATGTTGAAATTTGAGGATCTTAAACGGAACCAAATTAAATCCAAATCGAATCCGAATCGTTTCAAACCGAACTGAACTCTAATGTTAAACCGAATGGTTTAACTTTTTTAAAATCGAAAAATTGAAACTGAAACCGAAACCGAAAAAAATCAAACCGAACCCCGGAACGCCCACCCCTAGTTTATATTATACGAATTAATTTAAAAAAAAAAAAGAAAAAAGAAAAACGAAAAAAGAAAACTTAAAGTTGATCTAATTAAAAGAAATTAATTAAAAATTATTTATGAATATTGTGTTATTCAAATTATTTTATCTAATTAATTATGTTTCATATTTTTTCATAATTATTTTCACATTTGTACCCCACTCAATTATATTTATGGTTCTAATCTTAACTATCATGTAATCTATCAAAAACATTCTATTGTAATTTTTAACTAGTATGATACCCACGTAATGCACGAACTAAATATTATGAGTATTTTGTTACGTAGTAATAGTAAGAAAGAAGACTATTGTAACGTTATTGGTAAATACATATTTTGATTTGATAACAAAAAGTGATTAAATTATAAATTTGAATTTTATATAAATAATAAATAGAGAAATTAGAGAAAATACAAAGTTATATTACAATTAAATGGGGAGATTTAAAATTATAAATTATTTAAAACTTCTTTATAAACAATGTTAGTATGTAGTGGATATATCAATACAATTTATACAAATTATACAATTTATTATGTTTTAACCATCTTCCAGTACACTCAATAGCATACTAATTGATCCTTGGAAGATAGTATACACTTTTCTATGTGTTGCAAGTATACACTTTTCTATGTGTTGCATCGCACGGTTAAAGACTCATTCTCTACAAAAAATAATAATAATAATAATAATAATGTACTCAATAAACATAGGATTTATAAAATCTCGGTACATGTATAAATTAGATTTATAAAATCTCTAAAAACTAAGGATTATTATTCAAAAATATACTACAATGTAATAGAGCTAGTAGCATTCAAAAAGATTATTATTCAAAAAAACAAATATATCAATTAAAATTTTGATATCATTTAAATTATACCAATTAAAGAATAATACGATTTAATTAGTGTAAAATTTCTATGTTAATTTAATTGTTAACTTCGTTAAATATAATCTAATATTTATCCAAATTATCTTATCCATTTTCTACTATATATATATATATATATATATATATATATATATATATATATATCTACTATCTACTATACTAATAAGAGCCCAAGAGAGTTAGGCCTATAATGGGTAGAAAAAATGGCGGTCACAGATTTTAATCAAATGAATGGCTCAGATTGATTAAAAGATTGATAAGATTTAAATTTTACACTAAAATTTCCTAAAATACCCACACACCGTTACTAATTCCGTTAAAATTTTAAGAATTGCCGTTAGTTCACCGTTAACTTACTCATTGATTTCAATAAAAAAAAAAAAAAAAAAAAAAAAAAAAAAAAAAAAAGGTCTTAGGTTCGAACCTCATCCCAATCAAAGTTGGCATAATTAGTACAATTTTAAGAATTGCCGTTAGTTCACCGTTAACTTACTCATTGATTTCAATAAAAAATAAAAAAAAAGGTCTTAGGTTCGAACCTCATCCCAATCAAAGTTGGCATAATTAGTACTCTATTTTACTCTTATTAAATTATATAAATAATAATTTAGTAGCTACAACAAAAAATTATAGATATGCATTTCTTTAATTTAGAATTATGTGTTCACAATGCCTTTATTCAAAAAAAAAAATATTCATTATCAATAAATTAAATAAGAGAAATAATTGTATTAGTTATATTGTCTTTATTTTTCTTCAATATAAAAATTTTTTATATTCAAATTTATTAATTGATTATATTCGCTACATTGTCCTTACAATGTCTTAATACAGTGAAAAAAATTATTCATTATCAATAAATTAATTAAGAGAAATATTTTTATTAGTTATATTGTCTTTATTTTTCTCAAATGTAAAAATTTTTACATTCAAATTCATCAATTGATTATATTCACTACATTGTCTATTATCTTTTTTGTGCACTATTTTTCTAATTAAATATCAAAGTTATAATACAAAATAATG